CTTCCTGGGGATGAGCAAAGATTTTTTCCACTATGGTGGGATGTTCTCCTTTTGCTCCACCTTCACTACTGCCTTCTCTTTCCTTTCAGGCTCAGAAGTGAGCCCCTCCACCTGGGGACCCTCAGCCCGTCTCATGCAGCCCTGCTCAATGACACCTGGGCTTTTGCAAGCAACGATCGGAGCCTGCGCTATCTCAGAAGCCTGACCGAGAACTTCCCAAATGCTTGTCTCTTAGACGAGGAAAGCCAGCCGGTTGCCTGGTGCCTAAGTGATGCCGTTGGGAGTATGACACATGCCTATACCCTTCCCAAATATCGGAAAAAGGGCCATATGAAAACAGTATTTCAGGCACTAGCCAGAAAGTTGCATGCTAAGGACTTTGTCTCATATGGGGGAGTTCTGCCAGAGAACAAGGCCTCCAAGAAATTTTTATTTAGTCAGGGCTTTGAGCTCTTGCCTTTGATAAAACACGTTCTTTTATTCACTCCAAATCACATGAAATAGCCTAGTGCATTTTTCCTCCTTGAATCAGTGGCACCACTACTGGCTTCATTAGACTAAGAGGTTGGGAGTAAATTTGAACCTTAGATTTAAGGGACTGCCTCTTTGGATATTGTAATATATTGAGTTAATTCTGAGAATTGAGATGTTGAGAACTGTGAAAAACGGTTAGTAGGCCACGTGGCCAACAAGCCAGACTTTCTGTCTGCAGACTACTTATTATGCATTTAAGCGGGAGAATACTGTGTTTCTATTGGCTGCCGCCTTTAGGCTGAGTGTATAAATAGGGGTGGAGCATTGGTTGTTAGTTTCTGTTTTGACCTTCAATAAAGAGAGTTGCTTTTCATTTACTTCCTCTTCAATGCTGCGTCGAACAGCAAACATAACCTGATATATTCAAGATTAAATCTGAAAAGAATCACAAGAACCAAGAACGGCTCTCAGTGAATGTGCACTCTAAAACAGAACTCTTGGAAACAGTGATGGCGAACCTTTTGAGCTCAGTATGTCAAACATTTGGAAAGTGCCTAACTTGATTCTGCTGGTGTGTCACCTCGCCACCAACAAAAGAGGAACAATTCTGTATTCCCTCCTCCATCTAGGCCACCCTGAACGGCAGCACTCAATGGCAGCCAATGCTGGCTGGAAGTAGAGGCCTGAACCTCACCCTCAACCCTAGCACCACTGCTGCCAATGAAAATGGTTGCCTCGCACCATTCCCAAAGTATTTCAAGCCTTAGGGAACAGTGTGCTTGCCCCCGTGGCCCAGGACTTACCTGGGCCTGCCATATGCCATTTACCTTCAGATGCTGCTCTCTTTCTTTTGACAGGCCCATGCAGCTGACCTGAGGCCTTTGTTCAGAGAATAAACTTCCGTGGCTTCTGCCACCTCTGAAAACAATGCAAAAATACTGTCATGGCTGAAGCATGGCTCGCAGTGTAAACCTCGCTCACAGCCAGACAGGAAGCAACAGAGGGAGTGAATGATTGGAATGTAAGGGAGGTGTTGGGATGGGACCAAAGGAATGCAAGAGAGCCAACTGGAAGCTTCCAGCTATGCCAACACCTCAAAGTCAATCAGCTGGGAAAGCCAAGTCTGTTATCCAAACAAAATGAACATAGTAGATTGGAGGAAATAAAGTGACTGTGGGACAGCG